AGTAATCAATTTGCACACAGCAAAGAAAGACGTTGTTGTAAATGAGACACTTTGGAGCTCGAAATCATAAAAGTATTTTTTAAAATCAACCATAGTAACATTTGCAGTAAAGGTTCCCTTGCTCGAAAGCCAGTCGAGTTCGACTCTAGGGTTGCGGTGCTCATTTCCGTTTCAAAGCCGAAGAGCCAGCGCTGTCTGAAGACGTTTCCGTGGTCATGTGGCCGGCATGACTAAACACCAATGCGCACGGAACGCTGTTACCTTCCCACCGTAGTGGTACCTATTTATCTACTTGCAATTTCTTGCTTTCAAACTGCTAGGTTGGCAGGAGCTGGAACTAGAGACGGGAGCTCACTCCGTCATGCGGCAACTCGGGTCTCAAACTGCTGAACTACTGACCTTCCACAGCCTGCAGTTCAGCGTCTTAACATACACACAGAAAATTAAGATAACAAAAGATAACATAAAAAAAATCACAAATCACAAATAACATTTATAAAAAATCCTAATGAGGCGGATGAACCTGGTGCGCCACTATCAATTTATTAGTGCTTGGCTCTATTTTTGTCAGCAGCAATCTTAAATCCCCACGATTAGCTACTTGCAGTCGGTTTCTTTTTTTAGTTAACAGACTTGTGACCGCACTGAACCCACGTTCCACTAAATACGTTGAAGGAAATGCAATTAGAAACTTTTGTACTATAGCCCATAATCAAGGATAAAGTGTAGGTATCTGCTTTTGCAGCCAGAACTGTTGGCCAGAGTTTTAAAGCCAAAGGAAAATACCTGCACAACACTCTCAGAGATCAGAAAAGCACAACAAGACAGAGACACAAAGCCCTGGCCTAAAACTGGGGAACACACTCCGAGAAGTGACTAAAGCAAACCCCAGTCCTCCCCCAAAAAAGATCAACCACAGAACACAACCAAACAGCCCCACAGCAGCAAGCCGCCCCCCGTCAAAAACCAGCAACAAACCAGCAAAAACACAACTGTTTGTCTGACACGCCACAGCACAGAAGCAAGGCCCACACACTCCCACACCCACCGCCAGTAACCCTCCCAAGCAACCAAAAGGAATAAATAAAGCAGAACTTTTAAAAAGAAGACCTTCACGAATCACAATGGAAAACCACAACAGAACAACACCAGAGCAATATCAGGGACAACCAACGCACAACACTGAACCCACAAACAGCAACAGCCCTCCCAGCTAACCAAAACACACAAAGGAAATGGCAGTGCAGTCTCAAGAAATATATTTAAAAACCCAAGCAGAAAACTATAATATTTAAACATCCACCAGTAACAAAAGCTCAATCTCAAAATTAAAAACGTTGAGCAAAACCCCCACCACACCAACAAGCAACTACTACAGCTAACTACAGTTAATCCTACAGAAATGCTCTTAAACGCAAACCAAACTTTTGAAACTGTCACCCAACATCTTTAACTTTAAAAGATTCAGCCAAACCCCCACCCCACCCCCAACAAGCAACTACAGTTAATTTAAAAACAATCCTACAGAAATACTTTTAAATGCAAACCAAACTTCTAAAACTTTCCCCCCAAATTATTAATTGTAAGAGAGTAAGGCTTGGCCAACCCCCACCCCACACCCAACAGAATTGTAACCCAAAGCTACCCCAGGCAGGCCGCCCAACCTAAAGTAAAGGGACACTAATTTAACAGGTCCTTTTACTAATATCCTCCATTTAAAAATATGTGTTTTCCCCAAATCTTACCTTTTAGATATCTTGTTCAGTACAGGTAGAGTCCACCACAATCCACGCAAGCAAGCCAAGGCAGGAACAGAGCAGCAGCAACTGAAGGCCTGAAGCCAGCAGTAGCCACCACACAATAGCCAAACAGCAACACCTGCCTTACAAGGGTGCACATGCATTTGCAATTTGCAAATGTATTTGCAAATGCATGGCTGTGATTGGCTCTGGGGATACCTCTCCCCCTCCCTCCATAAGAACATAAGAGAAGCCAATGTTGGATCAGGCCAATGGCCCATCTAGTCCAACACTCTGTCACACAGTGGCCAAAAATACCAGGTGCCATCAGGAGGTCCAGCAGTGGGGCCAGGACACTAGAAGCCCTCCCAGTGTTGCCCCCCAAGCACCAAGAATACAGAGCATCACTTGCCCCAGACATAAGAGCATAAGAGAAGCCAATGTTGGATCAGGCCAATGGCCCATCTAGTCCAACACTCTGTCACACAGTGGCCAAAAATACCACGTGCCATCAGGAGGTCCAGCAGTGGGGCCAGGACATGAGAAGCCCTCCCACTGTTGCCCCCCCCAAGCACCAAGAATACAGAGCATCACCTGCCCCAGCCTGAGAGTTCCTACCTATACCTTGTGGCTAAGAGCCACTGATGGACCTCTGCTCCATATTAAGAACATAAGAGAAGCCAATGTTGGATCAGGCCAATGGCCCATCTAGTCCAACACTCTGTCACACAGTGGCCAAGAATACCAGGTGCCATCAGGAGGTCCAGCAGTGGGGCCGGGACACTAGAAGCCCACCCACTGTTGCCCCCACTCCCCCAAGCACCAAGAATACAGAGCATCACCTGCCCCAGTCTGATAGTTCCTGTCTATACCTTATGGCTAATAGCCACTGATGGACCTCTGCTCTATATGCTTATCTAATTCCCTCTTGAAGCTGCCCATGCTTGTAGCCGCCACCACCTCCTGTGGCAGTGAATTCCATGTGTGAATCACTCTTTGGGTGAAGAAGTACTTCCTTTTATCCGTTCTAACCCGACCGCTCAGCAATTTCAGAGTGCCCACGAGTTCTTGTCTTGTGAGAAAGGGAGAAAAGTATTTCTTTCTCTACCTGCTCTATCCCATGCATAATTTTATAAACCTCGTCACCCCTCAGCCATCGTTTCTCCAAGCTAAAGAGCCCCAAGCGCTTTAACCTTTCTTCATAGGGAAAGTGTTCCAACCCTTTTGTCATTCTAGTTGCTCTGATCCCAGGGAAGACCAGAAGGCAGAAAAGGGCTGCTTTAAATAGTTTCTGGACTCTTCTTTCTTTATGCTTCCACCGCCCCCTTATTTTTATTCAACACCCCCCCCCCCCAATTGCACCCAAGGCTCCTACCGCCCACCTGGATCGTTCCAGCGTCCCCCAGGGGGCGGTATGGTCCACTTTGAGAACCAGTGCTCCAAAGCAATAGAACAAATTTGGAGTCCAGTGGCACCTTTAAGACCAACAAAGTTTTATTCAAGGTATGAACTTGAATACGTTGAATACAACTTTGTTTGGTCTTAAAGGTGCCACTGGACTCCAAATTTGTTCTATTGCTTCGGACCAACACGGCTAACCACCTGGGTTTACTTCTAAAGTTTGAGTCCAGTGGCACCTTTAACACCAACAAAGTTTAATTCTGGGTATAAGCTTTTGTGTTTCGTGTGCCTGCACACGAAAGCTTATACACCTTGAATAAAACTTTGTTGGTTTTAACGGTGCCACTGGACTTGAACTTTGTTCTGCATTAAAACAGTGTTAGTCATGACGGCATTTGCTTTTGCCTCCTGGCAGTTATAAATGTGTTGATTTTAACTAGTTTTTTACTATGGGTTTTTTTTACTGTGTTTTGTCATTGTTTACATTGTAAGCCGTCTGGAGTTTCTATATGGTGGAAAGGCGGCTCGCGAATATTTTACATAAATAAAGGAATAAGTACAATACATCCAATGTAACGGTATAATGCATACAAATAACATGAACTGGATTGCAAAAATTGGCAAGCTGGTCCATAAAATGGTATAATGTAACATCACGTATATATGAGCTGGGCTATATTTTCCCACCCTACTATTTAAAAATGTCCTCCAAAATAACTTCATTTGACACATTCTGTTGAATTTGTTTAGTAATTTATTTACATTCCCTTTTCTCCCGAGTGGTGATGCAATGCAGCTAACATTTCATCCTCGCAACAGCCCTGTGTGGTAGGTTCGCTGTGAGTGTGTGTGTGCGTGTGTGTGCGTGTGACTAGCCCAAGGCCACCCAGCAAGCTGCCGTGCCAGGGTGGGGGCCGCAACCAGGCTCTCCTAGAGTCTTATCCTCTCAACAACCCTGCAAGGTAGGCTAGGCTGAGAATGTGTGACTGGCCCAGGGTCACCCCACAATCTCCCATGGCAGAGCAGGGATTCAAACCTGGGTCCCCCAGAAACTTTCTCTAGTGCTCTAACCGCTACACCATGCTTGTTCCAAATATAATAACATAGTAATATTTACATGAAGTTGAGCAAACTCTGGAGGACGACGGAGGACAGGAGGGCCGGGCGTGATGTGGTCCACGGGGCTGCTAAGCCTCGGACTGCACTGTGCCACTGAACAACAACAACACATATTTATATTACAAATAATATTAGGTACATAATTAATATTGCTGTATAATATGTGTGTGGTTTTATTATCTGAAATTATGTAACTGATTTATTAATTTTAACACTGCTTTAACTGTTGTACATCACCCAGAGCCTTGTGCGCAATGCTCCCTCTAACCTGTGAAGCCTCCTGGACAAAAATTCTACTTTGTGAGGGACAAAAAATCTACTTTGTGAACTATTGACATTAAAGTTGTGAGTGAGGAATTTGGCTCCTGCATCAATTAGTTTGCTCTGGAGCCCTCCTTCCTGGGCTAAGACAAAAATGTGTGAGCCAGAGGCTAAAAGACTGTGAGCTAGCTCACACTCAGTCAGCTTAGAGGGAACACTGCTTATGTGTGCAGGGATTGGGTGATTCACAAATCTTAAACAATAAATAAATAGTAAATGAATTAAAAATAAACACATGCATTAAAAAATTAAATTCCTGATAAATAAATACATAAAAATAAACGCTAGTTCCTGTTGTGCGTCTCTGCCCCGCTCCGCCCGCTCTCTCCTTCCCATTAGAACGGCCAGGCAACGTCGCCCCGCCCCTCCGCCGTCCCCGGCGCTGCGTCAGGAAGAAGATTGTCCCAGGCGGCTCGCCGTCGGCCCGGCCCGTTGCCAAGGAAGGCGCGCCGCGCGGCCCTTAGCAACGGGCCCGCTTTCAACCCCGCCAGGCCCCATGGCGGTCGCCGCCGCCAACCCCACCGTCTTCCTCCTCATGGTCAGCGGGCAGATCGAGAGCGCGCAGGTGGGCGAGCGGGGCCTGGCCGGGGGCCGGTTTCCTAGGAGAAGGTTGCCAACTTACCAAGCGCCTCTGCACGATGCCGTCGTGAGAGGTGGCTGGAGGGAGGGTCGGGCCCCGTCCGGAGAGTGCTTCTTCTCGAGAGTGTTCTCTCTCTCTCTCTTTGGAAGGGGGAGCCCTGTTTGGCAAATGAATCCTTTTTTTTAAATTATTATTAATGCATTAGCACAGCACCCTCCTGTTATTTTTTGCACGCTCCCCCGACATGCCGATATTTAAATAGGGGTTTGGGAGGGGAGGTCCTTGCGTTTAATTTGCAAAACCGAAGCTGGGGAGCGCACATGCTCCTGTGCAAATTAAGAGCCGCAAGCGTCCCTTTCATCCCCCCCCCCCCCCTTTCTTCCCCAGGGCAGGGAAAGGGCCGTCCGCCCCCCCCGCCGCCTCCCATTTGCAATGGGGTGGTGACAAACCAGGAGAGTTGGCAACCTCGGGTGGGAACTCGGTAGGGTTGCCATGTTTCCCAACCAGCTCTGCTCCTGTGTCTTTAGCACGCTCCCCAGCCTGGGGTTTTCCACTTAAAACGAAGAATTTCTGCATCTTGGGTTAGCATGCAAATATGCTGAATTGATGCACTGTAATGCATTAATGAAAAAGGCTTTGTTTGCAGACAGGGTTCCTTCCCCCCTTTCCCCCCAAAAAAACCCAACCAAAAAACACCATCCTCTCAAGCAGAAGCGCTTTTCTCCCAGGACTTTTCAACCGCTTCAACAATTGCATCATTTGTAGGAGCTGAGAAAAGCAGAGGAGCTCGGTCCTATACAGCATATGGCAATCCTATGTCTTCAGACTGCTTACAGACATCGTTTAAGTACTAAACTGTGGTCTTTCCTGCTTTATTACTGTTTAGTTACGTCATAAGCCTCCTTGAGTTCCACAAGATAGCAAGTGACTGATAAATGCTTTAAATAAAATAAATACCTACGAGTGAAGAATTTCGACTGAAGTCTCTTTTTCCTCCTCCCCAGTTCCCACAGTACGACGACCTCTACTGCAAATACTGCTTCGTGTACGGCCAAGACTGGGCCCCCACCACGGTAAACTCTTTCTCCAACCTCCTCTGGGTGTTTTTGGCACGATGCAAAAATAATGAAAATACGTAACGTTGCCTTTTAACAGCTTGATGGTTATCAGTTTTTGCATTATATTTTTACCTTTGCAGATCTGTCGACTCTGGAACAGAGCCTTGCTTTGCTCGGATTTGGCCGGCCCAGGTGCAATTTAATGTTGAAGTTTCAAGGCGGAGTAGATCGCTGCTGCCTTAAGATCTTGTTAATTCCCCCTTTTTAATTACTCATTGTTCAGTCCCTATAGCAATTGACACACACAAATGTGAAGCTGACTTCTACTGCTGAATCAGACCGTCGGTTCATCAAGGTCAATATTGTCTACTCAGACTGGCAGTGGTTCCCCAGGATCTCAGGCAGAGGTCTTTCCCATCACCTCCTCCCTGGTCCTTTTTAACTGGAAATGCTGGGGACTGAACCTGGGACCTTCGGCATGCCAAGCAGAGGCTCCGCCACTGAGCCACAGCCTCTCTTTACAGCTCTCCAGGGTCTCAGGCGGAGAAAGGTCTTTCCCGTCACCTCCTGCCTGATCCTTTTTAGCTGGAGATGCCGGGGACTGAACCTGGGACCTTCGGCATGCCAAGCAGAGGCTCCGCCACTGAGCCACAGCCTCTCTTTACAGCTCTCCAGGGTCTCAGGCGGAGAAAGGTCTTTCCCGTCACCTCCTGCCTGATCCTTTTTAGCTGGAGATGCCGGGGACTGAACCTGGGACCTTCGGCATGCCAAGCAGAGGCTCCGCCACTGAGCCACAGCCTCTCTTTACAGCTCTCCAGGGTCTCAGGCGGAGAAAGGTCTTTCCCGTCACCTCCTGCCTGATCCTTTTTAGCTGGAGATGCCGGGGACTGAACCTGGGACCTTCGGCATGCCAAGCAGAGGCTCCGCCACTGAGCCACAGCCTCTCTTTACAGCTCTCCAGGGTCTCAGGCGGAGAAAGGTCTTTCCCATCACCTCCTGCCTGGTCCTTTTTAAAGGGAGATGCTGCCAGGGACTGAACTAGGGACCTTCTGCATGCCAAGCAGATGCTCTTCCACTGAGCCACGGCCCCTCTTTACAGCTCTCCAGGGTCTCAGGCAGAAGTCTTTCCTATCACCTCCTGCCTGGTCCTTTTTAACTGGAGATGCCGGGGACTGAACCAGGGACCTTCTGCGTGCCAAGCAGATGCTCTCCCACTGAGCCACAGCACCTCTTTATGGCTCTCCAGGGTCTCAGGCGGAGGTCTTTCCCATCACCTCCTGCCTGGTCCTTTTTAACTGGAGATGCTGCCGGGGACTGAACCTGGGACCTTCTGCATGCCAAGCAGAGGCTCTGCCTCTGAGCCACAGCCCCTCTTTACAGCTCTCCAGGGTCTCAGGTGGAGGTCTTTCCCATCACCTCCTGCCTGGTCCTTTTCACTGGAGATTGAAACTGGGATCTTCTGCATGCCAAGCAAAGCCACTTCCACTGAGCCACTTCGGAGGCCACCTACCTCCCATTTTATCAGCTAGGCTCCAAATACCATGATTGGTTAACAACAGCTGTGATGATCAGTGTATGTATCCTAACAAGTACCTTATAATTTTAAGATCAGAAGAGGGGCAGAAATGTGCGGGATATGAGGTTTCAGGAGCACCTTAAAGACCAATGACACACTTGACGAAGGGCGCTTTGACACTTGAAAGCTCATATCCCAAAGATCTTGTTGGTCTCCGCGTTGATACTGGACTGCGATATCCCTGTTCGGAAGCACGTGATATATTTGTGAGTTTGCTCTGGCCTGCAGAAAAGCTTGTTGGTTTGCGGTTCTCCATTCTTTGGACGCTGGGTGATTGTAAGCACCGCTGTCTGCCTCCCACCCTCTCCCCTTGTTTTTAGGGTTTGGAAGAAGGTATCTCACAGATCACATCGAAGAACAGGGGCTCTCAGCAGGACCTGGTGTGGAACTTCCCCATCGACATCACCTTCAAAAGCACCAACCCCTTTGGCTGTAAGAGACGTTTCAGGAGGTCGGGAAGCCAGCAGGAACGGGGAGGGTGAGACTGGGCACCAGCTGTTCACAGGACGAGATTGGGTGTAACAAGTTCACAGGCCTCGCGTTGCGTGTTAGTGAGGCTTCGGGTCTTCCTGTACAGAGAGACTGAGCTGACTGAGGACATCAGAAGAGCCCTGCTGGATCAGACCAGGGGTCAATCTAATCCAGCATCCCATTTCACACAGTGGCCAACCAGTTTCTCTGGAGGGCCAACAACAGGGCACAGAGGCCGAGGCCTTACCCTGATAAGAACTTCGGAAGACGGAAGAGCCCTACTAGATCAGACCAGTGGGGGTCCACCTAGTCCAGCATCCCCTCTCCCACGGTGGCCAACCAGTTACTATGGAGGGCCAACAACAGGGCAGAGAGGCCGAGGCCTTCCCCTGATAAGGACACCAGAAGAGCCCTGATGGGTCAGACCAGTGAGGGTCCATCTAGTCCAGCATCTTGTCTCACACAGGGGCCAGCCAGTTCCTCTGGAGGGCCAACAACAGGGCAGAGAGGCTGAAGCCTTCCCCTGATAAGAACTTCAGAAGAGCCCTGCTGGATCAGACCAGGGGTCAATCAAATCCAGCCTCCCATCTCACACAGTGGCCAACCAGTTCCTCTGGAGGGCCAACAACAGGGCAGAGAGGTCGAGGCCTTCCCCTGATAAGAACCTCAGAAGAGCCCTGCTGGATCAGACCAGTGAGGGTCCACCTAGTCCAGCATCCCCTCTCACATGGTGGCCAACCAGTTACTATGGAGGGCCAACAACAGGGCACAGAGGCCGAAGCCTTCCCCTGATAAGAATATCAGAAGAGCCATGTGGGATCCAAGCAGTGAGGGTCCATCTAGTCCAGCATCCCATCTCACATGGTGGCCAACCGGTTACTATGGACAACAGGGCAGAGAGGCTGAGGCCTTCCCCTGATAAGAACTTCAGAAGAGCCCTGCTGGATCAAACCAGTGAGGGTCCATCTTGTCCACCATCCTGTCTCACACGGTGGCCAACCAGTTACTATGGAGGGCCAACAACAGGGCACAGAGGCCAAGGCTGGAGGTCAGCTGGAGGTCTCAGCTTTGCGTCCCTAGTTCTGACAAGAGCTGTCCTTGAAAAAGAGCAGTTTCTGTCAGAGCTCTCTCAGTCCCACCTACCTCACAGGCAATGTTCCCTCTAAGCCAGTTTGGTGTAGTGGTTAAGTGTATGGACTCTAATCTGGGAGAACCGGGTTTGATTCCCCACTCCTCCACTTGCACCTGCTGATGTGACCTTGGGTCAGTCACAAGCTCTGGCACAGCTGTCCTTGAAAAAGAGCAGTTTGTGTCAGAGTTCTCTCAGCCCCACCCACCTCACAGAGTGTCTGTTGTGGGGAGGGGAAGGGAAAGGAGTTTGTAAGCCGCTCTGAGACTCCAAGTGAAGGGCGGGGTATATATCAAATCTCTTCTTCTTCTTCTTCTTCTTCTTCTTCTTCTTCTTCTTCTTCTTCTTCTTCTTCTTCTTCTTCTTCTTCTTCTTCTTCTTCTTCTTAGCTGTGGAGTCTTGTGAGCAAACATTCTGCTTTGTGAGCTACCGGCATAAAAGTTGTGAGCAAACGATTTGGCTACTGCATAAATCAGTTTGCTCTGGAGCCATCCTCCCTGAGCTGAGACAAAATTCTGTGAGCCAAAGGCAAAAAAACTGTGAGCTGGCTCAAACTAACTCAGTTTAGAGGGAACGCTGCTCACAGGGTGCCTGTTGTGGGGAGGGGAAGGGAAAGGAGTTTGTAAGCCGCTCTGAGACTCCTCTGGGTAGTGAAGGGCGGGGTATAAATCCAATCTCTTCTTCTTAGCAGAACCATGTCATCTTTAGTAAGCCCCTGCACTTTCCTCAAGCTCCCTTTTTTGGGGTGGTTTGGTGCATTCCCCACCCAGAAAGAAGAGATTGTGCTTATACCCCGCCCTTCACTACCCAAAGGAGTCTCTGAGTGGCTTACAATCTCCTTTCCCTTCCCCTCCCCACAACAGACACCCTGTGAGGTAGGTGGGGCTGAGAAAGCACTGAGAGAACTGCTCCTGAGTGAACAGCTCTGAGAGAACTTGTGACTGACCCAAGGTCACACCAGCCAGCTGCATGTGAAGGAGTGGAGAATCAAACCCGGTTCTCCCAGGTTAGAGTCCGTGCTCCTAACCACTACGCCAAACTGGCTAATAGGTCATCTAGAAGGATAAGGTAATTCCCTTGCCACTGGGGGCACGTTTGGAAAAACCTGGAGTGGGCATCCTGCTTTGCCTTCTGTCTCAGAACAGACTGTTTCCTCCATTCTGAAATGACTCGAACAAAGGATCACACGTTGTCCTTGTTGTACCGGCTACGCAGGATAAACTTGGACGTTTCATGTTTTGCTTCGTTTATGCTTTTCCACTGCAATACCACAAGCCCTGGCTGTTTCTTGTGCCACTTTCCTGCACCGGGGCTGATCACTCAGTAGCGTCAGTTTGGTGTAGTGAGAACCGGGTTGGATTCCCCACTCCTCCACTTGCAGCTGCTGGTGTAACCTTGGGTGAGTTACAAGTTCTCTCAGAGCTGTTCTGGAAAGAGCTCTCTCAGCCCCACCCACCTCACAGGGTGTCTGTTGTGGGGAGGGGGAGGAAAAGGAGTTTGTAAGCCGCACTGAGACTCCGAGTGAAGTGCGGGGAAGAAATCCAATCTCTTCATCTTATTATTATTGTTAAAAGCCTTGCTCGGGTCTTGGTGAAGTCCGTCCGTCTCATGTTGGGCCTTCCTCATCTCCTGCTGCCTTCGACTTTTCCTAGCTTTTTTGTCTTTTTGGGTGAATCTTGTCTATAAATGGTTCGTAGATCGGCCTATAAACGAACAGCTGGAGAGACAGCACTCTGCCAGAGGTTTTGAGAGGTTTTTGACCTTGCTGAGGCAGTGAGATAAGCTGGGCGGGGGGGGGCACCGAGTAGGCATCTCAGGTATCCACCAACGGTGGGCAAACTCCTGGCAATTCTTTCCAGTGACCTCCAACGCCCATCAGGCTGGCAGGCAGGAAGCAGGCAGGCAAAACGGGAGGGAGGAATTATCTCCAGCAGGGCGCAGTGACATCACTTCCGGCATGACCTGGAAGCGCCAGCATCGGGGCGACGCTCTAGGCTTTGCCCAGAAACACTATGGTTTCCAGAGTTTCTAAGCAAGTGCTAGAGCATCAACCCCACTGTGATGCCAGCACTTCCCAGGTCATACTGTGAGTGACGTCATTGCGCAGCAACAAAGAACCACCACCCCACAATAAGGACAATGCCTCCCCCTTCTCCTGCTGTACAGAGTGACGGCTGAGATGTAATTCTACTTGCCACCCCCTTCCACTAGACCCAAGATGTCTGACAAAAGTGATCCTAGCCAGGACCTTGGAATTCCTGACTTAAGGGGTCCAAACCAGGTCTTTAGACCTGGCGATAAAATGCATATTCCCACTGATGTAAGATTCCCCACTCCTCCACATGCAGCTGCTGGTGTGACCTTGGGTCAGTCACAAGTTCTCTCAGCACTGTTCTCGCAAGTGCAGTTCTCTCAGTGCTCTCTCAGCCCCACCTACCTTACAGGGTGTCTGTTGTGGGAAAGGGATTGTAAGCCGCTCTGAGTGGGCGGGGTAGAAATACAATCTCTTCTTTGTGTCTTCCAGACCACACTTGGTTGATGCACAAGGTCAGTTATTTACAAAACTACAAAAAATGGCTATGGGCAAGGGACTAACCTGCTACCTTCCATTCAGGGGAAAAAAAACAAGGCCATATTGTCATAGTAACAAACGTAACTGCTCATAAGCCCGAGCTTTATAGACTCTCTCTCTCTCTGTTTCTTCCTCAGGGCCTCAGATAGTCTTAAGTGTGTACGGCCCAGATAGTTTCGGCAATGATGTGGTTCGAGGCTACGGAGCTGTCCACATTCCTTTCACTCCAGGAAGGTAAGTCCGTGTTTCCTTCCCACACTGAGCATCTGTGTTTGAGCAGACCGTAATCTTCATCGGCTGCTTCTTCTCAGGAAAACCCGGTTCCAAGCAAGCAAGACAGGTGATGAGGAAAATGTGAGATTTAAGCCACACCAAAAAAAATGCAAGGGGTATTATGGGCACACCCTGTACTGGTGGTTGACAAGGCCGGGCTCGTGACTGCTGTGGTGTGAGGATAATTTTTGACAACTTAATAATGTATAGTTTCATTAAGTCCTGGCCAAAGACGTTCCAGTCCCTTGTAGACCGTCACATCAAGCACTCCCACTGGGTCCTGCTTCACACACATTTGCTTCTTGAACTGCCACTGTTGGGCTGCATTTGGAGGGTATTCTGGTTTGAAAAAGTGCAACACACACACCCCCTGTTTTATTCCCAAAGGAAATGAGGCAGGTCATGACAAATCTATCATAATTTATTATCAGCTCCCTGTAAATCAGAGAATGCTTTCATGCCCCCTGGTGGGTGAGGGTCCTCTTGCTCACCATGATGCAAGTTGACCCTCCACTGCTTTCTGTCTTCCCTAAGTGCTTAAACCCCACTCACAGATCTAATCCAAGTGGTGAAATTCTGTTTCAGCCATAAAAGAACCATCCCGATGTTTGTCCCGGAATCGACGTCCAAGCTGCAGAAGTTCACAAGGTACTGAAAGAAATTAGCAATGTGGATTGAATTTTGACGGAGAGCGAAGATTCAAGGCCAGCACCACCTTAGAGACCAACAAGTTTCGGGGGCACGAGTTTTCGAGAGTCAAAGCTCTTTTCGACAGACACCTGGCGGAGGGAGCTGGTTAGGGGTGTGCATTCGGCAAAGAGGAATAAATACCCCAGGCCGGCTGGGGAAGTGAATGGGTGGGAGAGCGGGTCAGTTTCACTCCCCCTCCGCTTGGAAGTGGAGGGGCAGTGAAACTGACACGGCTCAAGTTACACCGAATATTTTCGGCAATGCCGAGTATTTCTTGAATCCCAGTATACTACCAGGATTTAGGAATATCGGTATTTACCAATATTTTTCGGGTTTGGTTTACCCGAACTGTAAAATACCGATATTTTTTCCTGTGCACACTCCTAGAGCTGGTGCACGGAGATATTTGACCAAGCGGGAACTTTGACTCTCGAAATCTCATACCCTAACAATCTTGTCGGTTTCTAATGTGCGACCGGGCGGGCTCTTCCTCTCCAGACCAAGGAAGCTGCCCTCCTAAAACTATTTTAATGGGGAGTCCTGCCCAAATGATCCATCTCTCTGAGCCACGTTGCGGCGGAATTCGTTCTGTGTCCCCTTGGGGGTGCCTGCTCATGTCGCTAGCCCTGGCCGAGGAGAAGTTTTGACTTACTGTGCCCCACATCTTGAGACTTGGCAAACTGGGATCTTGTGGGATTTGGCTCTACGAAAAGCGGGCCGGGCGGAGCTGTCTGGCTGCTGTAGTACTGACTTGGCCTGCCTCGGCTTTCCCCCCAGCTGGCTCATGGGACGACAGCCGGAGTTCACGGACCCCAAAGTGGTGGCGCAGGGAGAGGGCCGGGAAGGTGAGTGCTTGGAAACAGATGCCGCTTCTTTCTTTCTTTCTCTTTCTTTCTTTCTTTCTTTCTTTCTTTCTTTCTTTCTTTCTTTCTTTCTGCCGTCAAGTCACAGCTGACTTAGGGCAACCCTGTGGGGTTTTCAAGGCAAGAGACGTTCAGAGGTGATTTGCCTTTGCCTGCCTCTGCGTGGCAACCCAGGACTTACATAAGAACATAAGAGAAGCCAATGTTGGATCAGGCCAGTGGCCCATCCAGTCCAACACTCTGTGTCACACAGTGGCCAAAAATACCAGGTGCCCTCAGGAGGTCCACCAGTGGGGCCAGGACATTAGAAGCCCTCCCACTGTTGACCCCACCAAGCACCAAGAAGACAGAGGATCCCTTGCCCCAGACCGAAAGTTCCTATCTATATCTTGTGGCTAATAGCCACTGATGGACCTCTGCTCCATATTAAGAACATGAGAGAAGCCAATGTGGGATCAGGCCAAAGGCCCATCCAGTCCAACACTCTGTCACACAGTGGCCAAAAATACCAGGTGCCACCAGGAGGTCCAGCAGTGGGGCCAGGACACTAGAAGCCCTCCCACTGTTGCCCCCCCCCCCCAGGCACCAAGAATACAGAGCATCACTTGCCCCAGACCGAGAGTTCCTATCTCTACCTTGTGGCTAGGAGTCACGGATGGCCCTCTGCTCCATATGTTCATCCAATCCCCTCTTGAAGCTGACCAGGCTTGTAGCCGCCGCTACCTCCTGTGGCAGTGAGTTCCACGTGTTCATCATGACTTCCCTATAGGGTTCTCCCATCCAAGGACTAGCCAGGGCCGACCTTGCTTCGCTTCTGAGACTTGATGACATTGGGCTAGTGTGGGCTATCCATGCCAGGAGTTTTTAGTTGCAAGCAAGGCTCCCTCTAAGCTGTAGAATCTAGTGAGCAAAAATTCTACTTTGTGAGCGACTGGCATTAAAGTTGTGGGCGAGCGATTTAGCTACTGCATCAGTTAGTTTGCTCTGGAGCCATCCTTCCTGAGCTAAGACAAAAATGTGTGAGCCGGAGGCTAAAAACCTGTGAGCTGGCTCACACTGACTCAGCTTAGGGGGAACACTGGTTGCAGGTAAAGAGGTCTCTCCGGGCCTTGTAGGAGCACAGACTCTGGAGGGGGCAAGAGTCACGGACAGAGGATAAAACCGGGGCTTTACCAAACTTCAGAACAGGTTTAGAAGGGCACCGTCCCTGCCTACCCTTAAAGACTGTGCCAAGGGAGGGTTTTTGTCTGACCAAAAGGAAGGTGTTCACTGGTGAAATTAAAGGGTGTGTGAAAAAAATGACCACTTTGGTTTTAAAACTGCTAAATCCGGAGGAGAAATACACAGTCAGTATGTTGGAGGGGGGGGGGCACAGTGTTGCTGCAAGGAAGTTGTACGCCTTCGTTATCGGGTGCCTTAACCGCACAAGGCAGCGTGGCGTACATGCTTAAATAAAGATAAACGAAACATCGGTTATAAATACGTAGGGCGGGGTTCCCCAACTTGGTGCCCCTGCTTTTAGAAGCTGCTGGAGATTTGATTGCCTGTGTATATTTGGCAGCATCTGGCACCACAGCACGACTATCTTCGCTGTGTGACTGAGGATAAGCTGTGGCCGCCATTTTGTGGCCGGCTCCGCCCCCCTTGTGGCAGCCATTTTGTGGCTGGCTCCACCCCCTTGTGGCAGCCATTTTGTGGCCAGCTCCGCCCCTTGTGGCAGCCATTTTGTGGCTGCGCCCACCACGCCATGTCGTAATTCAAAGGTGCCCGCAGGCTCAACAAGGTCAGAGACCCCCGCCGTAGGGTACGGGATAACAGGCAGCATTATCCGCTACCGTCTTTTAAGGGAAGTTTCGTGTTTGTCTTTTGAGCCCCACTGACGGCTGGGTTGTCTCCTCTCCAGTGACCCGGGTGCGTTCCCAGGGCTTTGTGACTCTCTCGTTCAACGTGGTGACCAAGGAGATGAAGAAGCTGGGTTACGACGTGAGCCCAGCCGGAATGCCCAGCCCCTCGCTGGCCTCCATGGGAGACGGCCTCCATAGATACTAAAGCGGAGGATGGGCCCCGTTCGGCCTCCGCTCAACAGCTGCGTTTCCAACCAGCCGGGGGTTTGAACCGGACTGCCTGATGCCCATTCAGTTCTCACAGGATTCGTCTGCAGGGCGGTAGGGGATTCAGAACCTCGGGCGCTGGATAACAACATGTCAAAGTAGGTGCCGTTCAGCTTTTTAACGCCCTTTCGTGTGACGCGCTCCCTGCTCTTTAGGAAACTGAAGTTATCAGGGAGCGAAGATCTGCACAGCTCTCGTGGTGCAGGGCGTTTCGTTGCTGTGAACAGGCATGAGAGGGCAAGTTAAAATGACAATTCCACATTGCACCCCGCAGAGCGATGGCATTTTTAGTGACCTAATGCCTTTATGGGAGAGTGATGAATGAACTGTCACCCACACCGCTGGGGCCGCTCGAGTTATCCCGAGCGAGGTTGCTCACAGTATTTGCACTTGTGTTAAAGCAATATAAGAAAGAGCGACGGAAATGCCTCTCTCTGTACAAAACGAACCAGCTCCTTCATGTGTTACCGTTTTCCCTGAAAGCAGCGTTCCTGTAGATCTCCGAAATGTCACTGTTATCACTGGCCTTTAAGACTAAGGTCTTCAGATGTTACTTTGACCGTTTTCGAGAAGACATGTCTACTTGTTTAACTTTCCCACACATTTGGATGGCCATTTAGCATGCAGCCTACTGGGCATGAAGTAGAGAAGATCAATGTCAGGACACACAAGAGCTTTTTGCATGTTGTTCACAAGACGTTAAATGATACACACACACACCCAAGTCTCATCAAAAGCCACGTGGTCCACTTTGATGAAACCTCTCTTTGTCAAACCGTTCCCGTCTGTATGCAGATTTTTCGTAAATTCCGACAGAATTCGGAGCAGGCCAAAAAAGGGAACTTCGCTGCTGTCAACGCAATACTTTTTAAAGAAAAACTAAATAAAGATCTTTTTTTCATGGTTGTAGCAAAGAGCCTTGTGAATATTGGAGGATGCGTAAGAGAAAGAGAGTGAGACGGTTCCTACAAGGAAAGGAGAAGGGTTTTTGCAGAAAAATGCTATTCTGAGTTTCTGCGGCAGGTGTGGAAAGATTCAGGGATTCCCACGACCAACGCTCCCTCTAAGCTGTGGAGTCTTGTGAGCAAAAATTCTACTTTGTGAGCTACTGGCATTAAAGTTGTGAGCGGGCTGCATAAATTAGTTTGCTCTGGAGCCCCATCCTTCCCGAGCTAAGACAAAAATCTGTGCGCCAGAGGCTAAAAAACTGTGAGCTAGCTCACACTCACTCAGCTTAGAGGGAACACTGCCCACAACCTGGGCATCAGGCTAGAAGGTGAAAGGACAGATTTGCACATGGCTTCCAGCTAAAACACTTTCGCTAGGGGGAGTTGGAGATCTGTTCACACACTCTCACACAGCCAAACAATGCCCACTACGGATGTTGCCGCCACTGCAGGGAGTACTTGTTTGTTACGGACACATTCCCGTCCTTTCCCCAAGGAACTCAGTTTTAAAAGCGTTGGAAACGCAGTTGGTTAAACCTAAAGACAGAGCACACACACACAGACACCGTACAGAACAAAAAACAATTTTTAAGACGTTTTCTTTCAATTTCCAAACACTGATATGACAATTTGCTTAAGACGGGAGACCAAAAATGTGATCAATACCGACCTAATTTTATACTTCACGTTAAAAATGCACGTAGCAGCACATCTCTGAGCTGAAGGCAGAGTTCTTGATTAAAGGCACAGGAGATCTGCCTGGCTTCTCTCCTCTTGTACACGTTCGCCAGATACCGATTGTCTCTGCGCACAGGCAGCTTCCTGTTCCGTCTCTGGTTTCTGCTTCTATCGCCTTGACCTTTTCAGGAAATTCCAGCCACCTGCTCCGGGCGGCTCGCCAAGCGACTGGCGTAAAGGAGATTTGACAGAGATTTTCGACATACCGAAGAGAAGATTACATCAAGGTTATTTTACAGTCGTGACAAGTTGTAATTCTCCAGCAATTCCATTTATATTCTGATTACCTAGAAATGTTATCGGGAAGGTTATAAAAACCGGGCTGTTCACCCTCTTCCCTTTAATATCCCTCCCCAAAATTCAAGACCAAGAAGAAATTAGATCTACCTCCAAGCATCAATTTAAGCAGCTCGAGAAGAGAGAACAGAGAGAGAGGCACAAAGTAGGACGCCCCACATTCTTCTGCCCTACAAGTGTACTTCACGCTTTAATAAAAATGCAATAAATACTGAGAAAGTCAAAAGCCAAGAAAAATAACCACACGCAAAAAAAATCGAGCCAAAATGGCAGAGCCAGATCATAGATTTCCCTCTAAAGGAGAAAAAACAGCTCTGCTAAACATGCGGCTGTGTTACACATTCCGCTACACCCAGGGGTCATTTCGTAGAAAAAGAGATGCAGGAGCCTATTAGTATAACTCATTAGCATAACTTATTTGCATATGCCACACCCCCTGACATCACCAGAAGTGTGTCAGAAGGCAACACCCACCGCTCAGGCTTCACAGGACTCTGGGATTGCTAGCTATGGGGGGGATGCGCAGATCTGCCCTCACAGAGGAGGGAAAGCTTGTACCTGAATAAACCTTGGCCTTAAAGGTGCCAACTGGACTCCTTTGGATTGCTATTGGGGGGGGGGGCTCTGCAACTTACCTGGCTGCTTCTTGCTCCTTGTGGCCCCAGGGCTGCTAGGGGCAGGGCTTGTTGCATGTGCCCACCCCCTGGGCTCTTTACTGCCGGAGCTCCGCTCCTGTGCGCTCTTGCAGGAAATGACCCCCGGCTACACCCCTTTGAGACTGCAGATTTTTTGCACTTGCAAATGAGACACTGCAGATCCTACCAGAGGGAACTTTCCTGTCTCCTCCCATTGCTCATTGTCATTTATCAGTACATGGTCAGGTTCAAGTCAATGAGACGTATGCTCAGCCAGTTTCCAAACCAGCCCACTAAGGCAGTGGTCCCCAAGGTGGCATGCCTGGTTGCCACGGCGCTCGCCGAAGTGTTTCCTTCCTCCCCAGAGCTTCTCTTCCACAAAGCTAAGAGCCAATCCTGAACTTTTCTCCCCTTCACTGGAGTAGAAGAAGAAGAGGAGATTGGATGTATACCCCGTCCTTCACTACTCAAAGGTTTCTCAGAGCGGCTGACAAACTCCTTCCCCTTCCCCTCCCCACAACAGACACCCTGTGAGGTAGGTGGGGCTGAGAGATCTCTTGACAGAAACTGCTCTTTTTCAAGGACAGTTGTGCCAGAGCTTGTGACTGACCCAAGGTCACATCAGCAGGTGCAAGTGGAGGAGTGGGGAATCAAACCCGGTTCTCCCAGAGTAGAGTCCGTGCACTTAACCACTACACCAAACTGGCCCATGAAGCCTGTCCCCTCTGCGTCCACGGGGAGCACCAGGGTTGGGAACAGCCGCCTCCAGTCTGGAACGCCCAATATTTTGCAATTGGATGCTGCTCCCCCCCCCCGGCAGCCATTTTCTAGTGGCGCCCAATAATCTGTCCTAGAAATTCCAAAAATGCCCAGCATTTCAACAGAAGCAGGGCTCTCTGCTCCAAAAGCAAGCAGGGAAACAGTAACTAAGCCCACCCATTGTGAAGGTCTTGACTCCAAGGGGGCTGTGGCTCAGGAGCAGAGTACCTGCTTGGCATGCAGGATTGTTGAATCCCTGGCATCTCCAGTTTTTAAAACAATTATAATCAACAGAGGTTGCAGACGTCTTCTACCTGAGGCTCTGGAAAGCAGCTGCCAGTCAGAGTAGACAATACTGATCTTGAGGGACATTGATGGCCTGATGTAGTGGTGAAGTGCGCGAACTCTAATCTGGGAGAACCGTGTTTGATCCCCCACTTGCAGCTGCTGGATGACCTTGGACAAGCCCTAGTTCTGTCAGAGCTGTCCTTGAAAAAGAGCAGTTTCTGTCAGAGCTCTCTCAGCCCCACCTACCTCACAGGGTGCCTGTTGTGGGGAGGGGGAAGGGAAAGGAATCTGTAAGCTGCTCTCAGACTCCGAGTGAAGGGCGGGGTCTAAATCCAATCTCCTCCTCAGGAGGAGGGGGGTGTTATTTGTTTGGTGTCATGGTTAAGTGCGCGGACCCTAATCTGGGAGAACCAGGTTTGATCCCCCACTCCTCTACTTGCAGCTGCTGGATGACCTTGGGCAAGCGCTAGTTCTGTCAGAGGTATTCTTGAAAAGAGCAGTTTCTGTCAGAGCTCTCTCAGCCCTGCCTACCTCACAGGCAGTGTTCCCTCTAAGCTGAGTTAGTGTGCGCTAGCTCACAGTCTTTTAGCCTCCAGCTCACATTTTGCCTTCGCTCAGGAAGGATGGCGCCAGAGCAAACTAATTTATGTAGTAGCCAAATCGCTTGCTCACAACTTTAATGCCCGCAGCTCACAAAGTACAATGTTTGCTCACAAGACTCCACAGCTTAGAGGGAGCCTTGCTCACAGGGGGTGCCTGTTGTGGGGAGGGGAAGGGAAAGGAGACTGTAAGCCGCTGTGAGACACCTTTGGGTAGTGAAGGGCCATGGGGTATAAGTCCAATCTCTTCTTATCTTCTTCTGATTCAGCGTAAGATAGCATCATGTGTCATCCTGTTGAGGACATACCTGAAGAACTGTGGACTCAAGCCATGTAAGGCAACTCAAATCAAACGGTGGTGCTGAATTAGGGGTGTGAACCCCCAAAGTTGTTGTGTTTCTCCCCCCCCCCCCCACAAATGTATTGAACTGAAAAAAATGGTCAGGTTTCCCAAAAAATGTTTAAATCCCAATATAGGTGCAGTATTTGGGTCTGGGATTTTTTGGAAATCCCAAATTTTGGGGGGAGGGGGTCCAATAGACCTGAGAATAAAAAGAACAGTTTAAACTGAGCTGCAAGAGAAGCTTACCATCTGGAGGAGAAGGAGGAGGAGGAGATTGGATTTATACCCCGCCCTTCACTACCCGAAGGAGGCTCAGAGTGGCTTACAAACTCCTCTCCCTTCCCCTCCCCACAACAGACACCCTGGGAGGTGGGCGGGGCTGAGAGAACTCTGACACAAACGGCTCTTTTTCAAGGACAGCTGTGCCAGAGCTTGTGACTGACCCAAGGTCACATCAGCAGGTGCAAGTGGAGGAGTGGGGAATCAAACCCGGTTCTCCCAGATTAGAGTCTGTTCTGTACAGACCAGGGGTAGCCAAACTGTGGTTCGGGTGCCGCATGCGGCTCTTTCACACACGTTGTCCAGCTCCCGGCAGGGCGGCCGGGGAAGCTCAATATCATTCGCAAAAAGGTATCACTGGACAAATAAATATCATGACCCATGTCTGCTTTTACCCCTTTTGTTGTTATTTCCGGCAGTCTCATTTATAACATTAATAAAAACCAGATTTGCTTCTTTTCCAATAAAAACATGTAATGTCTGTTCGTGTCCGGCAGCTCTTACGTTAAGCGGGTTTGGCCACCCCTGGAATGGACAAACATACCTGAATAAAAGCCGGGGGGGGGGGGGGGGGGCGCCAAAATAGGGCCGGGGGGGGGGGGGGGGAGCTATACCGGTAGCCAGTCAGCTATACCGGGACTCAGCTATACCGGTAGCCAGTCAGATTCTCTGATCCGTATTTGGCTTAAATGATATTTTAAAAAAATAACGGGGAGATATTTGGCCGGTATTTCTCCAGCTCAATTTATGCCAAATGCACACCCGTATTCTGACTTCTGGACATCGAACAGGGGTCACTGGGGGTGTGGGGGGGAGGTATTTGTGAATTTCCTGCATTGTGCAGGGGGTTGGACTAGATGACCCTGGAGGTCCCTTCCAACTCGGATTCTATGATTAATAGCTGGTCTGTTGAAGAAGAGCTTGGATTTATACCCCGCCCTTCACTCAGAGTGGCTTACAAACTCCTTT